CCTCAGAAAAATGAATCTGACCTACCACTAAAAGCTCTACTTTGCTGTTTAGTAGCATTTAATATTCTTGAGAAAAACATCAGTAATTACCTTTCTTGGAAGTAAAAGCAAATTAAGAACAAAACAAAACAAAACAACAACAAAAAATATATATAAACCAGTTACTTGGTGTAGCTAGCTGTTCCTCGTTCACTGTTGCTGTAACACTTTACTTGATTTTAGTGTGTGGTATGGAAATTGTACCTCACGATATCAATAAAATAAATGAAAGTAGAGGAAGAACAGGGCGACAGTCCACATTCTACAGTGTTTACAAATTTACTATGGGCTTGGGCTGTTGGGCTTTAATACTGAAATTATGATACACAACATAAAAATTTCAAAACAGTTCTATCTGTTTAAATCCATTTGACCTTTTGCAGCTCGATAGAACAACTTTACTATTACTCATCGATTTAAACAGGAAATTTTAGAAACACTCTTGACCATGTTTCTAAATGTCCTCTCCTCCCCCATATGTAAACCATTCTGCTATTCCCTTCTAAATGGTTCTCAGTTCCATTGTCTCAGAAAAGGCACAAGCCATCTAACCATTAGACATGCATAGTGTGTCTCTAACTAATCCCCATCTTCAATATTTACTCTCATCTATCATCTATCCACATTGCTTTAAGGGTTTTATTTTCTCTAAAATCAATCATATCTTGTGAATTTAAATTCCCCAGCATGATACAAAAGGTCCTTTGTTCTGGCACCTGTCTAGTTCGCTAGTCATTGCACATGACTCCGTAACCCTTATTCTGTGCCTGTTTGGGCAGATGTTGGCAGTTGCTTACTGAATATCTAATCTCACTCTCTCTTTTTTTCTTATTCTTAGAACTGCATTTTATTTCAGGACATCCACATGCTCAGTTTAAAAGATATAAATACATTTCTCAGCCTCATTTCAGCTAGAAGTGGTTATCTAATATAATTCTTGTTAGTGAGATGTAAGTACTATTTGGAAGCTCTGGAAAGAACATGGGTTCTTGAAATAGTGCCTCCATTTTCTATTTGCTGGTTCCTTCTTTACATTCTTGCCTGGCTATGTGGACACAAGCCTGGAAATAGAACAGTCTTTGCTGCCATGCAATAAACACAAAGAAAAGAACTCTCAGAGGTAGACAGTGGTACAGAGAAACAGAAAGAGCCCAAAGTATTGTCTGCAGTGTGGCATGGCTGCACCATCCTCAAGAAGCTACCTCTAAGCTTCTTTTTATGAGAGAAAAATCAAGCCCTATTTAATTACTCTATTAAGTCACATCTCTTTTACATGAAACTAAATGCAATATTAATAGATTCACCTATCTTTTCTTGAATAAATCTTTGATATCAACTTTCTGTGTCTTAGTAGAACTTTCTTGTGACCTGATACCACTTCTTAGGTACCTTTCACAACTTCTTCCATTCCAAATATGATTCTTTCTCCATGTCCCTACCAGTAGTATACATACCCCAAAGTGAATAGCATTACTTTGCTTTCATTCTGTGACATTCCTCATTTCCCTCATAGGACTGTCTGGATCCTAAAGTGCCTGAAATTGCAAATCCACCCAATTTAGTTTTTCTCAGGTTCTTCCTTTAGAGAACCTTAAAAACACCTTAAACTCAGGGGTAGGGATTTGGCTCAGAGGTTCTGCCGCCTGCCTTGCAAGCACAAGAGCCAGGATTCAATCCCTGGTACCAAACAAAACAAAACAAATCTTAAACTTCATAGTCTATGAAGTCAAAGAAAGAAGATAATACGTAAAGGAATTACTTCTGTATCAACAAATGATATAAATATATATAGTTAGCATATTTATAGGCATATGTAGCCTGAATATAGCATGTACAGTGAGCTTAGATGTGAGGGCAATCTAACTGCAACATCTTTCACCCCATTGATTGTCAGGGTTGTGATGTGCTTACACAAATGTATACAAGTACAAATGTACACAAAAGTAAAAATTCTAAATAGAGTAATAGTCTTGAACTAACATAAATTTCTCTTCATCTAGAATTGAAAATATTTGGGGAAAAATGTACACAATGTATGTCCTGAATGAAACTGTGTACAGTTATCTTTCATTATTTTCTAAATGATGCAGTATATTAACTATTTATGTAGCATTTACATAATAGTAGGTATTAGAAGTAATCCAGAGATTATTAAAATCTATGGGAAGATTTGCATAGATTATATGCAAATTCTGTGCCCTTCAATATAGGAGATTTCAGAATCCTGAGATTTTCTACTCTGTGAGGAATTGTGGGACCCATTCCACACAGATAGGAAGTATTTGGTTGAATTCTCAAGTTAATAGAAAATAGTGATTAAACAGTGGAGCTCAATGGGCAGATGGAACTTGGTTTGGAACCCAGATCTTCTAATCCCCATACAGGGAATCAGCCTACTGCAGGTGTGCATCACAATTACTACATAAATTGCATTTTTAAAGTGTCAAAGACTGTGCTAAATTCTTCACCTTCATTGTAAATAGTTGTCATTTTAACCATATTTTACAGATGAAGAAAATTGAGGTTTATAGGCATCAATTAAGGGCTGGGGAGTTAGATCAGTGGTACTGCACTTGTTTGGCAAGCACAAGATCTTGAGTTTGATTCCTGGTATGGGTAGTGGCAGTGGTTTTATATATATACACATATATTTATATATATGTATATGCACATATATACATATACACACGTATATGTATATATGTATGTATATGTGTGTGTGTATATATATATATATGTATGTGTTTTTAATACATATATTAGAAAAATATCTGGGTTCAAAACCAATCTCCAGCTGCCTTTACAGCTCCAGGGTTTGATCACTATTCAACCAAGTACTTGCTATCTGTGTGGAATGGGTCCCACAATCCTTGTCTCCTTTTGACTGCAGAAGTGAATATGCTCCTTTCTTCTGGGTACACAGGACAGGGATCTCTCACACGAAGGTCTTACCAAAGGGGAAAGCCTCAGAGTCCTTGTTGTACCTGCCATTTCTCAAATTCCCACTGCTTAAAATATTCAACATACTAAGTTGCCATATTTTAGGATATCATGTTGTAAACCCCAATGCAAATAATCATCGTGACCTTGGAAGTCATCTACTGAAATGGGAGAGACAAATGATGATAGGATCCTGTGACTGCATTAGCGCTTATAAGAGAGCACCTGCTAGTGAGGATTGCTCACTTTGACCTTACATAAATAAATAAGAAATAATATTCTATCATTTTTGAGGCATTATATATGTTGGGTCTATTTTTGTAGCAAATGGTCTACCTTGAAGCAGTTGGGGTTTTAAAATTTGGGGGAGGGACATAATGTTATCAGTACATAATTAGTACTATTTTAAGGTAGCTATGGTTTGCAATGATCTTCTTATAAAATATTTTATTAAAATGTGCTGTGCTGTGGTGGTGTGAAAAACTAAAAGTGTAAGCAAGATCCAAATTGTGCAACTGACAATGTGAAATAGGAAGAAAAGGGCTAAATGTGTAGGGGAAAGGGGAAAGGTAGGGAAAAGGAAATAAGGGGAAAGAAAAAGTATAAGAAGAGGAAAAAAGGGAAACAAAGTTGTTTTAAATAGGAGAGAGTGGAGGGGGTGAAGGGAGGGCAGGGGGTATGGGGAAAAAATGAGAAACGAGATCTGTCATGTAAATGTTCAAGATCCCAATGATGAATGTAATTGCACTGTATACTTAAAAAGTACCAATTAACTCAATGAAAAAAATGAGCCTTTGTAAATGCAAACTACTGATAGGTAAGCTTTCTTTGTACTTATATACATGTGTTCAAAGGTACCTGAACTTGGCAAATTATATACCATAAAAACCATGTTGTGATTTGAATACTTGTTTTATTCAGAATAAAAATTATTTAGAATCTTTCTAGTTTTACCAATAAAATTCAATGTAGAAATTGCAGGAACACTTTTAAGCAAAAATTAATAATAATATAATAAGTAAATTCCAAGATAATATTGCTCTTAATAAAATATGCATAATAGAAATATTCTCAAACTGAATTTATTTGTGAAATAAAATTTCTAATAATTAATATTTTAAAATATCATAGGAAAGGACATGGCAATTCAAAATGCCCTCAATAGATAAATGCTTTTTACAAAGTATAATCAATCCTAAATTTGGAAATTGGAGGAATCTGGAATTTATCAGAATATCTGGGATGAAAATGTTGGAGACCCAAAAGAAGCATAAAGAATACAAGGAAAATTAATAGAACCTGTTAGAATCCTTTAGTGATCCTTATACATTTGCTTGTATATTCATATTATTTATAATAATGGTCTTTTATGTTTCATAGGGTGATAAATATTGACTATATTTTGCCCATTCCTTAAAAAGATTAAACTAAAGGGATTTCTGAGTATTTGTATACCATAAATGGAAAAGAGAATTGACTTCTATATAACAGGGTATTGTGAAAATAAATTACTAAATGGTCAGGTGTTCTTACTTTTTGGTGTATCATTTGTAAATAAATATGTATATAAGATCTTGATTAACCGCAACTGTAGAAATATTGAAAAATGTATTTCCTTGTTCTATGTGTTTTGCTAACTAAAACAAGTGAAACTCAACCTATTAAACCATAATGATACCTTTTCAATAGTTTATTAGCTACTTAGAGTCCACAGTACCAAAAGACTGGGAATTTTTGTATTAATGACAATCAAAATGAACTTAGTCTCATGTTAATTGTTTGTCTTAGTCCTGCTGATACCGTTTCCCTTCAAGCATCACGTATTAAAGGAAAAGAAATAATAATGTGTGATTTGAGTTTCAACTTCATTTTTTTCCTTTTTGAAAAAGTTTAAATGCAATGCTGTACGGTCTGAGCAGAATCGACAAGCCAGGAGCATGGGCTGAGGATGTGTTCTGCTGGCTTGCATGATGTCGTTGTTTTTCTGATGACATTGAATATGAAAAACTGGACTACAGTTTCTCTCAAAACCATGGCATCATTGTTTTTCTGATGACATTGAATATGAAAAGCTGAACTACAGTTTCTCTCAAAACCATGTCATCCTATCACCAGTGAGACAGTGTTCTATGTGGGGAACATCCTATTTTGGTGAGTAGAAACATCCTGTGTTCTTTTTTTGTTTTATTTTTCTGAACCTTAGAGCATGTATTTGCCTGACTATCCCCTACCAGCAGTTCAATTTGTGACTGCTGTATAGGGGAAGGTAGAAGAACTGGAGGTGATAACAATAACAAATGGACATTTTCTTTTAAAGAACTATACCTTGGATCTTCATTCTAGAGAAAAATGAAGGCTGATAGCACCAGTACTACTTCAAAGCAAATGCCTTTTTTATTGTAACAGATTTCTTCATTCACAACAGGTAAACTGAAGACAAAAACTAATGCTAAGAGAATTTGAAATAGGTTCAAGTTTCGTTGGGTTTTCTTGTAATGAGCTGGAAAAGGATATGGAGACAAAGAAACAACAATGGTTAATTTAGCATAGATGTGTTTATATTTCCATCTACTCTTATGAGGATCTTTCTATCTTAGCGTACACATTGAAAAAATATGTCTCCATCATTAAATTAATGACATTGTGCTTTTCACAATGTTTCTTTGAATTCCAAGTCAGAATGTAGAAATCTTAAGTACAAAAGAAGTAAACAGATGTATAATCTGTCTAAACATTTTTTAATTCTTAATGACTAAAATAGCTGCATTTATGTCTACACTGTGTATCTTTCCATCCATTTTAACTGTCCTTTTTTTATCCTTTCTTATCCACCAATGGCTTAATAAAATAAAAGCTGTAGACAAACTAAGTTCAACAGAGGTCATTAAACAGGAAAGAATCCATGAACCTGGCTGTTGTCAAGCCTAGATAAATTTAGAGGTCAGTGGCTTTCTGGAGTCCGACTGTGGAAGACACGTCTTGCTTGGTTGTCACAGCCAGTAATTAGTCTGCACTGGACTTGGTCTGAAGATTGACAACCTGTGATTGGCAGAAGCTGGTCTACTTGTGACTGGCTGAAACCTAATTGTTACAACAAATGTATTCCTAAATTGGGCTTTGGTTTGTTTTTGTACTGTTAGGCTATAGTTCATTTATATCAGAACTCAATGTACCAGGCCAGCCTTAGGCCAGTGGCTCCTTAAGTATTTAACAGGCTCTACCATTAAGTGTGCCAGTCCTAAGCACAAGTGGAAAAAACAGTCTTTCAAATGAAAGCTAAGATGAGGCTATTAGACACCTAAGCATTGCATATGTCATGCTCTTTTAACTATGACTGTATAAGAACAATTTAGGGCCACAGTAGATTTTTTTACAAAGGTAAAAAATTTACAGAGTAGGGCAAATGTGATTAGCTTTTTAAGTTCTACTGTCAGATACAAACAAATAAAAATCATTGTTTGCAATTTTCCTTACTTTTTCTACTTAATTCCCCTTGCTCCTACCATTTGTTTATTTTAAAACAAAAACAAAGCACAACCCAAAATAATGAGAAATTGCAGCAACAGCGGTTTCCTGCAGTGTGGCCTTTCCAACCACAGGTTCTGAGGGTTTCAGCAAGGCCTGCTACCAGTAGTGACTAGGGGAAGGGAAAATTTTAGGCTATCTTGGCTTTAAAATGGTCTGTCCATTTTAAATGATTTTAATGATTTTGAAAGAGTTTATTTCCAAAATTATAAATCAGTCCCTCTTGGCCCTTCCATGTTTCCCTTCCATTTATTTGAAGTTTTCTTCATAAATGACAATTCCTTTACTTTCGTTTATTAATTTTGGTACCAAGGATTGAACTCAGGACCTTGTGCTTGTAAGGCAGGCAGTGGAACCACTGAGCTAAATCCCTGGCCTGATAATACATTTATTATTTACATATTTATTTATGCATACTCTTTCAAGTACAAGTAAGAGTTAAAGTGGTTAGATGTTTAACATGTAGCAAAATACATCTTAAAATAGGTAAAAAAATGCAGTAACAAAGGTAGAAATGTAAGAATAGACACAATATATTCCACTTATAGCACAGACTTTAGTGGACCTGCTGGAAGTGAACTCCTTGTTGCATTTAATCACCTACAGCTGGAGAATAATGCAAATAGCTATACAACGCACAAGCTCACTCATTGCTTCAACCAGATGTATGCCAGGGGACAGGAAAGGGAACAAAATGCCAATGATTTAAATGTTGCTACTTTTAATGAGCAAGCTGAAGGGCATGATTTTAAAAAAAAGAGATCCTGTATTATATCTACCTTTCATTATTTGTACTAGCTTTGCTTTGCAGAAGCCATGGATAAATGAAAATAAGCTGTACTTGACTCTGCTGGAATTGATAAATAATGAAAGGCCAGGGAAATAAGCCCTGGAACGTTTGAACTTAAAAGGCAAGCCAATTTTGCTGAACCTAGCAGTTAGGCCAGAACAGGCTCTTTTTAACCTGAAAAATGCCATAGCTTTGTGTTTCATTAGGGAGATTTAGAAATGAGGCCATTTTGCTCTCTAGAATGCAAGCTGAGTTGTCTGGGGAGTCTTCCAGCCCAAAGAGAAAGTTAGGGTACAAAATATCATCTTGTTAAAATTAATACAATGGTACTTGAATTCCCAATTTCTTGATCACATGCATACACAAATATAGCACTTGAATCCATTAGCAATTTGGTAGATTAAAAATATATGTATGCATATGTGCACATTCTCACTGCTATCTACTGCGTATTTCTTAATAAGATATTAATAGTGCTTCTTGAATTTTGAAATTTTAGCTACTGATTTCCTACTATGGAGATGAGGTCCTACCTCTCTTGCACTATTCCTCTCTCATTCTATACCCCAGAGGATTTATATCATAATTTCTGTATAGGTGTTTACATTATTCAAATTATGTAGATATTATTCACAGTTGAATCTCATGATATAATATCACAATTTATATATTGTATATTCCTCCTATACCTCTTTTTATGTTCTCTGCTGTGAATAATTGATTTTTTTGCCTTTGGCTTAGTTTTTGATGTATGTATGACTGATTTATCCCCAAACTCTCTACAGGAGTAGATCTCATCTCAGTATATACGTGCACACCAGATATTAACTTCCTTGGCAACAGTTGTCTTCATGTTTCTAACTGAATGGTTCGTTTTTTGAGTTTGCTTTGTTTCTCTAGCCTGGAACTGTCCAATGACTATGGCTTTGCGACATCTTGCTTGGCTTTACTGTGGAATCTCCCCTGCTCAAAGCCTGTATTAGAGGCCACAGATATATCATTTTTGAAACATCAATATGACAGTAGTATCAGTGACAAGAGTCATAGATCCCAAAAGAATAAAGGCCCTCTTTTTAATATAGAAAATGTAATCATTTTGTGATTTTAATGTTGTGATTGGTTTTTTATGCCATTGAGCTCAAAATAAATTTTCCTGTCTAACATGCATGAGTATTTTCAGTTTTTACATATTACCTTTCAAGAGAGTAGCAAGGGCAATTGAAGATGTGTTAAATATATATCACAGCTAAGTCATGCAGAAAATAAGTGCTTTTCTGCCTTTGGAATTTCACCTGCATCTATACAGGCCTAAATAAAATAGGTGACAGATTTGTAATGTGCTCAAGAACAGCAATTTATATTTTATGATTTCAAAGACCAACAAGGTGAAATTCACAATGTTCAAATATGAATTTAAATGCCTGTCCCTAGCAATCCCAAACAAACTAAGACAAGATTTTTGCAGAATTTGCTAGCTGGTTCCAATATTTATATGGAAATGAAGAGAGGAAATACTGGTAAAGATAATTTTGAATAAGAAGAACAAAAGAAATCAAACCATTAGAATCCAAGATGTATAAATGATGCCACAGTAATCAAGGCAGCCTGATATCTAGATATAGATAGACAGGAGCGGAACATGGGGCAGGACAAATCCACACGTACATGGTAACTTCATTAATAGCAAGCTGGCCTTGGAGCAAAAGGGAGAAAGTTCTTTTTTCATAATAGTGCTGACGAAACTGGTTATCTATGTGAAGAAATATGTGACTTCACAAGTTATATGATATACCATGCAAAACGATCAGTTCCAGAGAACTTTAAATATGAGAGTAAAATTTAAAACTATTTTTTTTTAATTTTGTAGAAAAACATCTTTGTGATTCTGGAGTAGACAACGGCTTTTAAGAGTGTTCAAAGCTAAACTAAGCATAGGAATTTTCAATATATATCTTTAAAAGAGAAACAGATAAGATCTAATAAAAATTGAAAAAACACATGCATAAGCACTTTAAAAAAGAATATTCTGGTTATTAATAAACATCTGATAAAGTACTTTATTCACTAGGGGAGTTAAAACCATATAAGATTACTCTGCAACCCCACCAAAATGGGTGAAATTTAAAGAAAAGGGGGCCAGGGATTTAGCTCAGTTGTTCTGATACCTGCTTTTTAAGCACAAGGATCTGAGTTCGATCCCTGGTACCATAAAAAAACATCGTTGGTTGGTGTTATGTTGAGAAATTAGAATTATTGAATATCATGGGTGGGAAGGTAAGATAATGTAGCTACCATGGACAACAGCATGACAATTATTAAAAAATGTAAAGAATTACCATATAATCTAGCAATTCACCCTCTGGGTATATATAAAAAATAACTGAAAGCAAGAACATGAACAATATATTTGCACTTCAATGATCATAGCAATATTATTCATAATAGCCAAAAAGTGAAATAACTCAAACATCCATTGACAAATGAATAAACAAAATGTATAATAACCATAGGGTGGAGTATTATTCAGTGTTAAAAAATGAAATTTGGATACATTGTTGAAATTCATATACATTAAGTAAAATAAATCAGACACAGAAGGACAAACTTTGTATGATTCCACCTACATGAGGTAGAATAAATTCATGGAAAACGGAATGTAGAATCATAGTTATCATATGCTGAGGGGTATGGAGACTTAATAGGTACAGCACTGGCTACATATTTCCAAGACCCAGTATAAATTAAAATGCAAGTATTGTGGATTCACCATTGAATTATACAAGAACTTCAGGGAAGATCTAATGCTAAACTCATCATGGAGGCTAGAATTATCTTGGTTCCAAAACTCAGAGAAGGGTCCAACTAAAAGAGAACTCTACCAACCAATCTCTTTAATAAACATAGATGCTATTCCCCTCCTGAGCATCTTCCCAAAAGAGTTAAAGACATCATATTACAGTGATACATGCATATCTATGTTTACAGCATTACATTTAATAATAGATAAATTTTGTAAACAGCCTGTTTGTCCATCAATAGATAAATGGATAAAGAAAATGTGATACACACACAAACACACACACACACACACACACAGTGGAATACTGTGGGACAGGGAATGTCAGGGAGGTGAACGAGAAGTAAAAACTATTAAGATGTGAAATGTACATGTATCAACTCCTCACAATTAATTTATTCTTTGAATCACAAACATGTAGTAATAATAAAAAAAGCCCAAGTTGCTTACAGAGGAAACCTTGATTAATAACAACCTTTCCACAGACTTTTTACTCTACTATTTCACTTTCCCTAGTTCCTCACTGCAGATCTATCCAAACATCTGCCTGAGAAACTAGCTGTTCTGATTATGGAGTGCAATTCAGGCTAATAAACAGGAATCTGGATTTCTTCCTAGTGCGTCAAGTGTCATCTGGAACCTCAGTGCCCTCCACAAGATTCCCTACATTAAACTGACCAATTAGCAAAGAGAGTGTGTTGGAGCACATAGGAGATTTTTATGGGATGAATGTAGAATTGTGCCACTGATCACTATAATTTATTTTCCAATATCCAGAAATTGGCCATATGATTCCACTACTTAGCCATATAAGATTTTACTAACAACAGGAGCTAGAAAAAAGTATATAGGCACAGGGAGGATATTTGGTTATCAGAATTTCTTCTGCTACAAGCTAACATGATTTTTACATATCTACCCGCTTTTGGGGAGTTTTAAGCTATTTTTTTCAAGTCATTTGAACCATAATTTATGCTTGCTTATTTCAGAAAGATAAATTCACATTATTACAAAAAATTAAATGATATAAAGTTCCCATGATAAATCTGTGCTCAAAATTATTTATTTTTCACAATTTAATATTATTTCTAAAGTGAAGGGATAAATCTACCCATTGATGCTTCCTTAAATGAATGAATGAAATGATTGGATGCTAAAACTGCCAATTTGTCAATAAATTATAAGAAAAATAGAACGTTTTCTTTGAAATAAAAGATGTAAGCCAGCAAAATTTTCTGAATTAACCCCCAAAATAAAATGGGTATTCAATAAAATCTGAACATATATAGGAAAACAAGAAAATTCAAAAACAAGAAGGTAAAGACAAAATGATAAATTTTTAAAGGTATTGCTTTGAGTATAAAATAAAGAAGTCATATTAACTTTTCCCCCTTAATTGGTCTCTTTGGTTCTTGAGATCATAAATTTTATTCCATATCACATCCCTTACATTTGGATCCAACCTAGAGAAAAGTCTTTCTTCTGAATCTATCAAGATTCAGTTACAGGTTTGGCCTAGCGAAAAGCAATGGCACAAACCACCAAAAGGTAGAAGAGCCCAAGAAAAGCAGTAGTTCACTGTAAACACCATTGGAAAGCTTGGTTGTGTGTTTAAAATGGCAGCTTTATCACTTTTCTCAGGTAAGCAAAGTGAAGATTTAACCATACTGTCATCTATCTCTGCATGCCCTTTCATTCTGGATCTTTGTGGATATAATCATAAATATATATCTCCGTAAAATATAACCAAAATTATTATTGACTACCTATGCTATGTATTTACATTAGCTTATTTAATCCTTGAATTAACCATGAAAAGCCGGTAGGGATAGAAAACAGTGGGTAGAAAAAGATGAGGGACACCCCCCCACGCACCGTGCCCAAAGGAGTTTAGACAGATGGTTGAAAAGGCTTAACCACCTGTGAAGAGGTGACAGCCTGCGGTTGCACTTCCTCTTCACGTTGTACTCTGCAAAGCTTGGTTTGCAAAAGTTAAAAGGAGAAAAAGGAAACCTGACCCTAAAGTATGAAAAGTCCCTAAAGACCCTTCCCCATCTTCCCTAGTACTGAGCCAATCGACCAATCAAGTAGGGGCACCCTCAGTCCAGAGACAGGATAGGTCCCAACTACTATAAAACAACACCTGGAGCAGCCCTTCAACGGTGGCTGCCTTTTGGGCACCCCTGCCTGTCTCAGAGCAGGAAGGTGTACTCTTGCATGCTAGCTGAATAAAAGTACAAATTTTGCTTCTACGCTTTTCGCCTCTATCTGATTCCATCTCCTCCTGAGACAAACCCATTTTAAACAGAGGAACTGAAATCCACAGTAATCCAAATTCAGTGTATTGAACAATAACTATGAAACCCATGCCTCCAGAATCTACCATTAACTACTTCTCTTTTTTGAACTTGTTTGTCATATTTGTGGACACTCCTGCTGAATCAATAATCATTTCTGCACCAGATTTACCTTCCTATCAATAATCATTTCCAAAAAAATAATCATTTCCATTTTTCATGACTGATATCTACAGTGAAGACATTTCAATGCTTTTGCTTCTTAATTCCTTTTATTTTCCACTTCAGACACTTTTTGTTCATTCTTGTTCAGTAGGGAAGGATCTTGGAAAACATGGGCATTTTCTGCAGTATTAAATACAGTTTAGAGTTGTTAAGGAGTTCTCCCTGAGTAGACGGTACTAGAACAATGCAAGGAAATCAAGGATCTATTTCTGCTTACATTGGATAAAAGTTGTTGTCCCTGAGGAGGAAACAGTAAGTGTAAATGCCCTTAGGTTTGTCTCAGAAAGTTTCTTAAGAATGGGGGCTGTATTTTATACTTGGGGATTATTAATTATGCTCAATGATATCTTGCCTGCAGGAGTAAGTGATTTAATATGAGTAATGGAGCAGCACAATCAATTCTTGTTTAATAAACAGAGGAGATAGAATACATTGTTGGAGAGTTATAGCTAGAATCAATCTTGTAAGGCCTACCAATGAAATGATAGGATTTAGGACTCTAAATACATAAAATAAAAATACAAATTAAATAAGGAAGTGACATTATATACAATGAGAAGAGTGCATTTTGAGAAATGCAGTTTTAAGGGTACAATACTAGTTTTACAAGGGTTTGATTCCTGAGTATTTTTCTCAGGGTCTCAAGAACTCGTTTTAATTAGAAGAGGTTTCAAACATTGTGTTTAAAACAGCACATTATCTGCGTGTCTTCCCCTCTACAGGCCATATTTCTGTAGCACTTTTTAAATGCTATTTTGATGTCTTTGTCTGCAACCCAGCAAGCATTTTAAGGAATGGGAGTAAGAAAATAAAGATCATTATCTTATTTTTTAAGCAATTTATTCAATAAAACTCTACGAGTGAGTTTCTCTGACAAGTGATACAAACCTCCAGATGAATGTATTCTAATGTGAACAACAGAGCTCATCAGGTAGCACTGTACTTATTTAATACATTTCTGTGGAAAAAAATTTATTCAATTATATTACCTCAGTAAGCAAAATGAGTCTAGGAAAATGCCTTCTCTGAGATACCCAGCTTTAACGCTTAGAGTATCAGAGATACATTATTAATTCTGAGAAATAGTTTCTAGGACAACACACAAAATGAGAACAAAGAAAACAAAACAATAAACATTGCAACTGCGTAACCCCGGCGCGGCGATGAATTTTGTCCGCACTGGGCTTTCGTAGTCTTTTCGTCATTACGTTGCTTTCGCAGCTGCGCCCGGTAGTGACGTCACGACTTGTAGAATTAGCGGGAAAACTTGTCTCTGCGTTCCGGCGGAGGGTTTGAGCGCGCGCGGAACTTTCAAGCGTCTGGCCCCGGCAACTTGAGCTGTCATGAGTCTCTGGGTGGACAAATACCGGCCCTGCTCCTTAGGACGACTGGACTATCACAAGGAGCAGGCAGCGCAGCTCCGCAACCTGGTGAGTGAGCCGCGGTTGAGACCGGAAAGAAGGGCGGAGAGGAGCGGCCCTGGTTTGGGGTTCCCGCCCTGCGGAGCAGTGGGCCGCGCTCCAGACCTTTTTAAAAGGGATTGAAAGTTACGGGGAAACTGGGGAGGCGGGGAGAGTGTGAAGAGCGGGGTTACACTTTTAAGCAAAGAACGCTTTGCTCCGTTGTCTGGGCCAACACTTTGAAGTGAGAAAGCCCTAATGACAAATCACTGACCCAAAGAGAGAAGCAAAGGGAAGGGATAGTAAGTGCAAAATTTCAGTGGCAAGAGTGCACAGCTTATTGTAGGAACCTCAAGAATGTCGGTGTAGCAGAACAATAAGGAGCCAGCCTAGAGAGTAGTAGGAAGGGCTTGAGGACGTGCAGGTTGATGAATGGAAGGATGTTGCAGAGCCAGTAAATTCCTGTAGAGTAGATGGGAAGCCCCTGGAGAATTTTGAATAGAGAAGTGATATCTAACTGACTTTTTTGTTGTTGTTGTTGTTGTTGTTTTTTTTTGTACTGAGGGTCGAACTCAGACCCTTGAGCTTGTGAGGTAGGCGGTGGAACGACTGAGCCCGAATCCCGGCCCATCTATCTGACTTTTTAACAGGCTTTTGAAAAAATTCCTTCTTGTTATTTCCATTTTCAAGGAAAGTTTTGGGTTTATTAATCCCCAAGGTCATGTCTTAATTCTCCAATATGTTGTATTAGGATGTCCTTGAATTTAGTCCTGTATGGCTGATTTTTTTCCCCTTCAACTCAGTGCCTATTTTGTTGTTGTTGTTGTGATTGTCTAATGTCATTGTTTTGTCAAAATCCAACTGAATCTTTCGAGAGTTGGAAAGGCAAAAATGATCTAGGGAAAATAAGTTATTATAGATCAAAGAGTAATATATATATTATATAATATATATAT